CGAGCAATGCCTGACTTCACAACAGAAGAAGGGAAAAATAGAGCAAAACGACAAACAGACGGCTGGAAAGAAGATGGAAAGCAGGTAGAAGAGGGGTTAAGCCATTCATAATTATTAACAGTTGGAAAGCTAAAACTCATCATGCATCGAACCGCCCACGTCAACTCTTTTTCCCAGAGCTCTGTCCATCATACCCATATAAATATGCACTGTGGTGACTGTGCGCTGCAGATGAGCTCTTTCTTAACACATATGACACATACTCGACCCCTCTCTCATAAGGATAAGCCTTGTCAGAAAAATGCACAACTATGCGCAGCAATCTCTAACTATTGGAACAGCTTCCGCAGCAGAGCGGGCATAGCAAGCCAATCCATCTATGCCATGCATGTCTTTCCTTGATCTGGACTCCCACTGTGCTCTTCTTCGCACCCTTCCAAATAGGATTGTCCTTGGCATTCCAGCATACCCAATCTCTGATAAGGACACGCGGTATAGGCAATGCAAGTCTAGAGTGAATAAGTTCCACCTACCTCTTGGCCTGTAGGTAGCCAGCAGGTGAAAGCCCAGTTTAAGGTCCTATAGCCTGTTACAACATCCGTAAAGGTGTGGCAAGGGGAAGAAAAGCTCCGACTTCGGTGTGCTTGCCCCCGCCTCTGTCCAAATTTGCTGCTCCTGAGGGTCCGGCGTTCTTAAAATGCTGGACCCCCTGGATGTATACGGACTTAGCTTGAGACCAGATACATCCAGCAGGTCATCATCCATTACATTCCACATGGCTTCCCAAAATTCTTTTCGGAAACCGTCGATTCAGGGCGTGTTTTCCTCCTCCATCTGCATCAGTGCCGTCCATACCTCTTCCCTTGAGAGCGGGGCGTCCAGCTTGTCCCTTTGTTGTTGTGAGAGGCAGTGCTTGAGTGGTGTGCGAAAATCATCAACTTCTTGGTTGTGGCCTGTGCTCTCCGGGTCGGCAATGTGGGAGGAGAAGAGGTCCTTAAAAAAGTCACTCGCGAACTTTACGCACTCCGGGGTCGAGAGGGCCAGGGGGTCTTCATGGGCTTGGGGGTTCATTAGTGCTTCTATTGTTGTCCTTCTTGTTCTGATTTTGGCCATACTGAAGGAGAGGGTGTCGATTGTTGCTTCGGTCTGGTGTTTCGTTAACGTGCCTAGGATTCTTGTGCCATTCCATCTGTGCTTTGTCAAGGAGTTTTTCTTTTAGTTCCGCCACCTATGTGGTTTGGTTTTCTGATTGGGTGTGGTCTTCTAACTGTTGGATTTGCTTTAGCAGGGTAACTTCTCGTTCATTTTTTTCAATTTTTTTGTGCTGCCAGTTTTTTTGAATAGTCTTTGCACTTTTTTGCTAGAAAAAATAGGCCGTTGTTAAACCAGGTTATTTTCGATTCTATTTTTGTCTTTTTGGTTTGCCAGTAGGACCACACTCGGCCGTTATGTGTACTTTGAATTGATCCCTTCTTAACAAGGAGGTGTTTAATTTGAAAATACCAGGGCCCTGATCTGTTTTTTTTCTAAAGGTCAGCGCAATCATGCATATCTTGTGATCAAGGTCTGAGTATGGGGGAAAAAAAGGGCTGAGAATGGACTGGAGGGGAGGATGGCCGATATCTGGAGGGCCCCCTCAAGATCGTCAGAGATGAGGATTATATCTATTTGTGATTTGGTCTGTCGGGCAGGGACATTATTCCTCAGGCATGTGAAGACTTACTTTCTCCTTTGGATGAGAGCGTCCATATGTGTCATATACCCTCAGTGAGCAGCATGGGTTTAGGGTTAAGGGTTTAGGGTTTAGGGTTTAGGGTTTAAGGTCCTTTCGACTTTCTCCATGTACCATGGGCACGGGGTCGGGGCTTGCCACCTATCTAACCAACAAGTCATATACCCTCAGTGAGTGGCATCACTCATTGATGATCCTTTCAATTTCCTCCATGTGCCATGGGCACGGGGTCGTGGTTTGCCACCTATCTAACCAACGATCGGGAGCTGCATGGTAGTCACCTGCTAGGACCACAGGGACAACACCGGGCAGTAGCGATTTGATTTTTTCAAAGAATTCCCTTCTTTCTCGGACACCGTTGGGAGCATATAAGCAAACAACACACACCACTTGTTGCTCTAACATAACCAACGCTGATACCCATCTTCCTTCCGTCTGGTGCGCAGGCCAGTATACCACTTCTGTGGAGGTATCCATATGGCCACCCCGGCACTCCCAGGAGTGGGTGCATATGCCTGAATCGCCTGGTGTGGCCATACCATTTTGTGTGCACAAAGGTGTTCAGGTTTATTCATAATGTGAGTTTCCTCCACACAGATTATGTTCGGCCAGGTTTTAACCCCAAACCCACGCATCTGGTCCCTATAGCCTGTGTTTTGTCCCGGTTGATGGATGCTATACTGTTAACATTAATGGAGCGCAAGTCGAGGTCTGCTGCCTTAAGTACCTATCTCAAGTGCTTATTTTTCTGGTAGACGGCTTCGATGAGATCCATTTTCTTCCTTATTTGCAGCAGTTTACCTACAGTCGCGCCCAGATGGTTTCATCCCAGTTAATGGCATTCAGTAGCATTTCTTTTTTGAGGATAGAGCAAAGGATTGTTAGCAGGTCCTGGTGCGTCCACAGTTTGCTTGGTCTCACTTTCAGGATCTGCTGATCTCATAGCTCCTGATGTGTGTACCATCTCATATCTGCTTCCTTGGTGTCCTCGAACCGGACATACTTATCCTTGCTAGCCACTCTGTGCTATTTTGGGATGTTAATGTGTACAATGCGTGCACCCCTGGTTCATAGTGTTCAGATATGGACACCCCCTCACGTGTTTACTTGTAATGAAATGCTTGTTTTGGTTATTAAACAAAAAAAAGAATAGTCAAGTGGACCCAACACCTCTCTCCAAAAATTCAACAGTGGTGAAGGGAGCCCCTATTTGGTAGTATTGGTATTATTAAAAAAGGCCATGTGCCATGCGCGCAGTCCTATTTTTCTTTTCGCAAGCTGGACTTGTGTGTACCGGGTCGACGCCGCCCAAGACCAACGACCCCTTCCTCATTGGTTTTGCAGTAGTTTACCTACTGCTGCTGCGCCGTCACTTGCAGTTCCGCTTAATTTCCTCTCTTGCCGTGCACACCGGGTTGTCAGCCCAGTGTGCACGGCAAGAGAGGAAATTACGCGGAACTGCACGTGACGGCGCAGCAGCAGTCATCCAAGCTGCGTCGGCCCCCTTCTCTCTCTCTCTCTCTCTCTCTCTCTCTCTCTCTCTCTCTCTCTCTCTCTCTCTCTCTCTC